CTTCTTCGGCTTTCACTCAGCAAGTCGACGTCAGCTCTGACGTATGGGGAGAGAACTCCTGCGCGCATTGGAGGGACTACGGCCAGAGACTTGGAATTTCGACTTGAGTGGACGAGCTGGTTCTGTCGTGAGATGGTTCGTCTCGTCTGTTTCCTTTCGATTTTTTCGCGATCAGCCGCCGATTCGGCAACGGGCGGAAACGGGGGTTGTTTCGCTCCTGTCCGACCCATGCTAACTGGTAGTACTGATTGCTCAGTTCTCAATCGAAACCCGCGAGATTCTGAGGCTCCGACCTACTCTGGAAAAGCTGCCGAAGGGGCTCTCTGCGGCTGTTGCCATGCGGGAAATCTCTCCTCGCAGCGATACAAAGCTACCCAGTGTGAGGGCGAGAGCGCAGTGTACGAGTGGAACGATCACACGAGTCACAAGAGGAAGGTGCTTTTCTTTCGTGGCTCAGTCGGGTCACGGCCTGGAATGGCGTCGTGAATTCTGGTAGTCGACTGCTATTCTGGATACCGTATACGTTTCCAAAGCACCGGCCGAACAGCGCAACAGAATCGCCGACGGCGATGTATAGCCTTCCTCCTCGAATCAGCCTTACGTCAACGTCGAACCGCTCTGCACAGAACCGGAACGCACGACGTTGAGCAATGCAAGCTGCCACAGGAGCGAATGCTTGGCTCTGAGCTTTCACTGGCGTTATTCGAATTTTTCCCTCATCCAATTCCACTTCCTTGAGATAACGTCAATTGGCCGAGAGTCTGGATACGGAATCATGGACGAGGAGCGAAGGAATTCCTTTCGACTTCTCCAATGACCGAGGTCCGGATCGCAAGCGACAGTTCTCGAAGATTTCGCCGTGATTTCTGCGGCGCGGCGTCGGAGATTACGCGGACGACACGGTCATCATTGAAGAAGCAACCATCACGGTGTGTGATGAATGTCGAGGAAAATCCATACGCTCCGTGTATCGATCGTTTCACGGCTAAGCGTGCCACAATCAACGCTCGACCAGGCCCAGAGATGGCGGATGCTGCTAACGATCGAATGCGCGTCATGGAAAATGCGACGACATTTTTCTGGAAGAGGAGGAGCTGACGGTGTCTCCTGTGGAATCGTACATCGGTATCCGCTTATTCGTAGCTGCGTTTTTTCGCCTTGTTTCGTCTCAAGCTGGCTCGGTCCGCTCATCGGATTGGTCTTCTGGACTAATAGCAGAACTGTTGCCCTTTCTACGTCGACTGACGGCGTCCGCAGCTACTCGACTGGCTGGAGATGGATTCAGACGATGATGGCCGGACGTTCGTTCGCAACAAACTCTTTACGCATTCCTTTTAATCATTGACGATTGTTTACGGCGGCCGCCAGCACGTACCTAGCGCACACGAAGTACATCGAGCGTATCGTCGAGGCTCGCGTAGAAAGTATCCTCTGGCAGTATCGAGTCGACGAATCGCTGGACTAAGGAAATTCAAGAGAATTCGTCAAACAGCAGTGATGCTCAGCGCGTTCTGTGCGTCAGAGGCCAGAAACAGCTGTGCGCTAGGCAGTCCGGCGGGCGGAGGGACTGGCGATCCGCTTCAGCCGCATCAGTGAGCTCGTTTACCGTTCATTTCTGCCACACGTGGGCTTGAAATTCACTCCATGGGTCTCTTGCGTACCCACTTGATAGCCTTGACTCTGGAACTTTGTCCCTGCCGATCCCATGAGGGGATGAGCTCATGCATGCTAAGAACGATATCTCAAGTACAGATTGCTGTGTCTGAATTTATTCTATGGAATCTCCAATGAGATTTGAATATCCCGCCCGGAGTCCGGGGACATGGGGCGGGGAGGGGGCGAGCTCTGGAAAGAACAAGGCCTCGCTCTCGAGTGCCCGGACCTTCCCGTATTCCCGTACATGGGACGTGGGGGGAGAAAGCGTCGTCAGCGGACTCTCGAAACGATATCGACCGTCAGTTGGAGCGATTGGGCAACGATTTACGGTAAACTTTCCCGTCGTACGACAGCTATAGCGAATGACGATGGCGGCAGCGACGTGTTTGGTGGCCTCGGTGGCGCAGCATTGCTGTCTGCCGGGCCGCCGCTGTAACTATCGTTGAGCGGCAAGCAAGCAAACGGACGAGCGAGCCAAGTGAGCGGTGAGTAAAGTCGTGAGAGAGTTCGAGAGTAAGGCCGCGGCATTCTGACTGCTATGCGCCATCCACCGACCAGCCAGGCCGCCAGCCCGACAGTCAGCCAGAAATCTAGCTTGCTCAAGAGAACGACGTAGAGATGCGGAACGCGTCTCTCTGTCCTCGGCTTAAGTCTCCGTGGTGGTCATACCGGTAGACGGTCGTTCCTTCTCTTCACTCCCGACGTCGAGGTAGAAATAAAGTTGAGCGAAAAGCGACTCCGAAGCCCCTATCCGGATATATCGCGTGGTTTGTTGACTTGTCCGCCGGCGGGCACGTGCGACTAGAGTGAAATCAGAAGTTCCGCCAATCGGACAGACAATCGTGATGACGCACTTTCTGCGTTCGCGGTGCGACGACCATCGATTGACAAGTCGATTGTTCAGAAACGATTGAATGTAAGTCACCAATCGATCGAGAATTCGGTGCCTACATTGTCTGGGCGATCGAGTCTGGTCTTCTTAATCTCAGACTCAGAGACGGTGTGTACAAGAGTACGCACTATTCCGAGTTTCTATTGCGATCGCTACTTTGCGAGCGAACGAGTCGGTATCCTGTCGCTTGACTTGAGAGCATCGCTTGACTACCGGGTCGTTAAACGTTTGTCAGATCGCTTGAGCCGGCGAACTCTTGCGAAACGTTTGGATCTACCTATCTCTAGGAGCTCGGGAAAACTCGATAAATCCTCTCGTTATCTCTCACTTTGAGCCCGTACCAGGGAATGCCGTGCTTGATCCTGACGGTGAAAATTGAGCGTGAAACTTTTTCCACCTCCCGAGAACTTTGAGCTGATGGTCAATTCGACCAACTCAAGCAATCCACAAGGTACCACAAGGAAATGTCGCTGCGGAAAAGAGTTGAATGAAAGTCCCTATGGGAGTCCTCATACGATGGCATGCTGACACTTTCGGTCTTTCCTCCTGAGCGTCGCTCCTGCTGATTCGGACCCAACGACGTCGTCGCGACCGTCTGCAATATGCTCGGAGTCCGCTCGGTCAGCTGCGATGACGCATCACGCGTGTTCCCGACCGTAGACGAATCTCCTCGTCCCTCTGGAAAGGAACTGCGCTCTCCTGAATGTTCCACGTTAGTTCATAGAATTCCCTGCTTGGACTCTTTGGAAAAGTCTGCCAGGCTCTTCGCTCGGTCGATGTACCGGTCGACGGCTTCAATTATTCATCTCGCACTATCGGTATCACCACAAGTGGCCTGTTTTGAATCTCGCAGATAAACGCGATGTGGACTCGAGAGACGGGCTCCTGCATGGGCATCGAAGATCTGGGCTGTAGAACGCCCAGACCTTCTTGAGAACGGCTTGAGTTGGGTCGGGACTTCGGTACGCTATACAAAATCATACGAGTCCTTAGACGCTGCTTGGCGAGAGCTTATCATCGTGAGCCACTATCTATCGGCTTCGATCGGTTTCCGTCGTTCCAGATCAATCGCGAGCGTTCCGATTTTACGTGAAGCCAATGGAACTCCAGAGTCAAGCTTCTCGACAAACATATTGATAAGAGGCTCGCTCGACTTCTAGACCCGAATGACTCATCGTGGCTGACCTTTCAAGGTCAGCTGTGTTTCTATCGTCGGATGGACGGACAGAAGCTTCCTTGCTAGCTCGTTCGTTCGCCCGCCCGCCTACCATTGAGCTGCCATTGCGACGCGGAGAGAAAAATTCGAGTTCAGGTCGTTCCAATGGCAGGCTCTCGAGTCGATCGGCTACATATCCAAACATATTGACGCGACCTGTTCTACGGGAAGCAGCTGGATCCCGTATGAATTTTTCCTACAGATACGGCTTCCGAAGGTGTCTCTGTCCCGAATCGGTTTCCGAGAGACCCTTAGAGATAACACCGGGAAACTTTTTCGAAAGTTCAAGGAGCATTCCATCATTCATTGGCTCTTCGGACTGTCTCGGATGTCCTGGGAGAAGTTGGGGGCCGCTGTCGCGAATTCGAACCGAACGCTCCGGACGGCCTGTTGACGAGCAGAACGAAAGACGTCGGAGCTTTCCGGATCCGGCGACCTCACGGGAGGAGTTCGACGGCTCTATGCGTCGTACGAGTGATGCAATTCTCTCGTGCTCGGGAGTTACTGACCCATAGGGTCAGGGAGACCCTGCAGTTTCTAATATTAGACAGGAGCCGAATCGGAATTCTGACTTCGTGTTGCCGTGCTTTCCCAACAGAGCCAAGCTCACTCCAGCAATCGTACAGAGTCCCGCCGATATACGTAGCCGAAGGGAATACCGTTCTGTGAAGTCAATGAGAGCTCGCCAGCTCGACCGCGATTGTTCTTCTGCCTATCATGACGGGTAACTCGGGTGCGGGATGTGCCGGCGCCGCTATTCTGGCTCGTCCTCTGATTATACAGGCCTCGGAGATTGGAATGTTGATTCGCGATCGAAGAACGCTCGAGGAGCGCGAGGGAATGAGTCGGGGAAACCCTGGACCGAGGAGGCACCGAGCTCGCTCAGGATCGCTCCAATTGGTCGGAGTGCTAAGAGGGGGTATTTTTAGTCTGGCAGGACGCTCCGGGAAAGGGAAACACGGCAACGTGGGTTTTCCCTTTAAAATTCCCCTCCGACCGGGATTCTCATGGCTCCAGGGAAGATATAATTGGAAACGAGCCCATCGATTGATCGATTCGGACTTTTTCGCGAGGGAAAAAATTCATCCCGAGGGGTTCGGCTTTCCATGATAATTATTCGTGTCGTTTCGGGACGTAGCCGAGTTTCCTGAGGAGGCCAAAATCTTCTGAGACTAAAAGGCATCCGTTTCCCTTTTCAGCGCTACTATGTAAATCACAATTGACGGCTAGCGCGCTATGGCTGCCTCTCCCTTGAAGATCGTGACGGTCGCTGGCACAGACCTAACTTCGGTGCATGGCCACCACCCAATCAATCGACATTATAACCTCAATCACCTCCACCAGTTGCACCATCATGTTACGTTTAATCTCGCCCCCCGACCGGCGTCTCCCACGCCGCAATGTGGCACCAGCGACACCACAGACAGCTCCTTGCAGACAGTGTCCTCGGCAGCGGCAAACGCTGCCGCGGGATCCATGCCGACTCCCACGATCTCAGCTGCTCGCAGGAAGATGTCCGTGATGCACACTGAGCCACTGATGATCGTTCAGGATAAAACTCAAACAAACATAAGTCTGAACCCAGGTAAGGAACTGAGACCCCGGAGAGGGCACGGAGGAACTCGGCTCTCGCAGACGTACGGAAGAGGGAACCGAGCTGGAGTCAACGCCTACTAATTCGATCCCGTTTCCTTTTCTCCTGTCGTGCAGGAGCCGCGCAGGATCCCTCGGGGGCAGAGACGAATGTGACGACGTTTTCGGTGACGGCGCCCACATTCTCGTTCGATCTCTCGAAGCATAGCAAAGTCATTTCTAACGACGGGAGCGTCGTATGTTCCGTGGTCAGCTCTTCCTCAACGCCGTACGACGCCGGAGATATTCGGAGCAACGGTATCCGCGAGAAAGCGGAGGAGATCGACATTGCTAAGCCTTCGACAATCTACGGAGCGATCGCCTCCGAGATCGGTGGCCTCATCGAAAAACGGAAGCTCTTGGAGTCTCCGCGGAAAACTTCGCCGAAAAAGAGCTCGCAGCTCAGTCCCAAAGATCTAGAAGAACACATATCGAAAATTATTTCTCAGAACGCCGCCATCGTCGAGACGGATCCTTTGTATCGGAAAGTATCGAGAGATTCTAAAGCTTCGACACGGAGATTCAGTTCTTTCGATCTTGGAAGGTCCAAGTTGCAGACAGCGCTCCTCGCAGGTGCGTGCTCTTATGTCTCGTTCGGCTTATTGACGTTTCAATTCGCCATACTTCACGCCAGTAGCGAATCAAAATTTTAATAATGCTATACCGACGGACAGTAGATTGGTCGACGCGTGTGACGCTCCGGCGCATTCGACACTTCGCGATGCGTCCTCGGGAGCGTATTCCTATCGGTGATACCCGACACGTTTGAAATTCGGCTCCCAGGAGCGGGAAACTCGGGAGTAACGACCCGTCTCTCTCCCGAAGGTGCGAACCCACGGCGCGTGTCCAGTGTTGAAGTCCCTGCCTGGTCGCGGGAATCGAACCCCGAAGGTAGCATCATCAAGGATTTGCTGCTCAAGTCCAGGGCTCCGTTCCCGCCGCCACCCGTCGCAGCTGACGCGAAGGAATTCTTCACCTGTCACGCGTGCAATAGTTCGTTCGGGAGCGTAGAGCACTTGCACGTACACTCCAGCAACCACTGTCCGCGAAACGCAGAAGCGCGCAAGGATGAGAATCACGTCTCGGTGAGCGAATTTCCGGAAATTCGAAGACTCGGCGAATCTCCGCTTTTCCTATTCCGCAGCCAGACCGAAGACTTTCCGCTCCCATTCGGAACGGATCTAGAGTGAGAGGGTCCCTCAAACTCAAAGCGCTGTTCGATGTCTCAGGTGATCAAGAGATCCGATGCGACACCGCTGAAGAAACGAAAGTTCTCCGAGCCTGCCTACCTGTCTCCGAAGAACGAACAGCGGACGCGTGGATTGAATTCGTCTCTGAGTTCAACTCAACTCTCGCTTCCGGTCATCGTGACGACACCCGCTCCGCCCGAGTCTGCGCTCCAGCAGGGCTCCGAAGGTAAGAATTCTGCAGCGCCTCAAGCGGCTCGATTCTCTCTGTTCCTTTCCAATGGCCCTCGGCCGTCTTGGCTGCCATCGCCGTCGTCTGACTGAGTTTTCGCTGTCGACGTTGTTGTTGCTGCTCTTGTTGTTGTTGAGTTTTCTTCCGTTTTGATTGCTTGATGCTCGAAAAGCACTAGTCATGTCCGAGTTTGTCTAACTTCTCCCTCGCTTTTCCCTAGCTGAAGCGATCAGATCAGCCTTTACCTCAACATTCACGTCGGCGGGTGTCGCATCGACGAGCGTCGTCAATTCCGCCGTGACGAGTCCAAGCCACACTGTAGCCGTGATCAAACCAGCGCGGCCCACTAGTCTGGAGCTGCCCGCGCAACCAAGCGTCCTTATTGGCTCAAACCTAATCAGTCCCGAAACGCCGCGGCCTCAGAAGTCTTTCCGGCAGACTTACATTAATGGGCACGCTTACACATATCTCGGCCTGAAGGTGTCGACGAGATCAACGTATTGCTGCATCTACAGGCCACAGCCCATGTTCGTCCTGCAGGAGACCGATCCTCGCCTTTCGATGTACTCCAATTGGATCATGTTTCCTTACCGGGACGAGCTTCAATTAGGTAGGTGTGGCCACTTTTCGAGATCCCCAACTCGATCGTCTCCGCTCAATAATTTTTTCCTTCGATGATTATTCGAAAGCGATTCGCATCCGGCGCACTGGAATCATCGGGGATTCTTCAGCCGATGACTTCTCGAAGGAACAAAAGAAAAGAGAAAACGTCGTCCGTAACGCGCGAAACGAGGCACATAGCACAATGATCGCGCGTCGAGCCGCCGTAGCTACGGGGACGCCGCTCCGTGAATTTGTGACGTCAATGGGCCATCCCTGCCGGCCAGTAGAGCGTCTGATCCCATGGTCCGCTGCCATTCCGTGTCGTGACGAATCGAGCGCTCCTCCGGAGCAGCGAAAGACGGCGGCCACAGAAAAACGCTCTGACGAAAAATAGTATTCTTCAAAAATTTTCCCGCGAAGCCATGTTCATCAAGTGAAGAGCAGTGACGCTCGAAGAAATATCGGTCCGGCCAGCCGGCCGTCGGCGGTGTGTCGGCTTCTAACGCAGCTCGCTGTTAACAGTGTCTCGGCGTGTGTCCCGCTTCAAACTCGATGGGCGAAGCTGTTTTCGAGATCGTTTGTAGAACATATGAGCGCCACTCACTGTACTTAAATCGCAATTTCGGAGTCCAAATAGTTCGACAGAATACCGCGAAATTTTTCCCGAGCTGAGATTGACGCGTTCCATGGAACGCTGGGATTCCCGAATTCGAGCGCTTCCGGACGGATTGGCATTGTTTGGTGATTTATAGGTGTGGAACCAATCGGACTGTTGGAATGCACGGACCACCGGCAGTGGCGGCACGATCAGCTCCAGCCTCTTTATTCTGTGGCACCTCATCTCAAAGGTCCGCGGAGTTCCCAGAATACTCCGCTGCACATGACCCACTCGTCATACTGGTTAGCGAAGATGTCAACGAAGAAGCATTCGATAACTTCGGACTACTCTTCAATCAAGGACGATCTCGAAAGTCTTCCGCCTTCCCGAAAGGTTCGCATCTATCTGCAGTCACTTCTTGGTCTTATCGAGATCGAGGCTGATCGAGGAAACAAGAGTCTCTTCTTGAGGTTTTGAAGCCTATCCGTTTGCAGCAATCGACAGTCACCGAGCCTGGATCGGAGTTTGACTCGAGCTCAATTTTCACGGACGAGTCGGCGGTCGAGGAGATTAGCCAGGATGAGGAGTGGCGTATGGGATCGGGAGAGAAACCCAAACGAGTAAAGATCTGTGAAGGCGGTTACAAATCCAATGAGGACTACACATACGTCCGGGGACGTGGACGCGGAAAATACGTTTGTGAAGAGTGCGGTATCCGATGCAAAAAGCCATCGATGCTCAAAAAGCACATCAGGTACGGATTCCTCGAGAGTCAGTGAGGCGCCACACGTGCCTCTTCCGCCTTTCTGGTACGTACGCCGAGTCTGATATTCGATTCATACTTACAGAACCCACACGGATTTACGTCCCTACTTCTGTAAACACTGCGAGTTTGCCTTCAAAACGAAGGGGAATCTCACGAAGCACATGAAATCGAAAGCTCACCACAAGAAATGCGTCGAACTTGGTATCGTACCCGTGCCGACCGTCATAGACGACTCGCACGTCGACCACGAGCAACTAGCGAAACAGGTGAGAGAACTCAGAAGAATCTCAGCTTTCCAGTGCTCCCAGGAAATGAGGAGCTTGATTTTCATCGTAGAGGTTGCTCGACCAGAATCCGACTTTTCTTTTACACGGAACGGTCTGCGGGCTCCGGGGTACTAACCCAGTACCCATCTCAATCATTGATAATTCCAATGGCAAAAATAGGCCACAATCTTGCCTTCGTTCACGCGGTGTTCCCGCTCCGACCCTCCTCAATTTACATGAAACTGAGTCCATTTCCTGGTCTGCCGGCTTCGGCTTTGGACGACGCCGGCGCAAGCGTCTACTCTCCGCGTGCGCCGTGCCGTGAATCATCACCGGAGTAGTATTGTAAGAGCTTCTCGTTCACTTTCCCTCGGCTGACTATACACAGGGGCTACGCTCCTCTGATCCTCCCCGTGGAGGTTCCCAGGTGGAGCCTATCACGGTGATCCCGTCGGTTTGGTCGGGCCGAAGCTCCAGAGTCCTCACGGTGATCGGTAAAGCGACAGTATTCTCAAATTTGCTCGGAACGGGCCTCAGCGGTGGCCACGACCTCGAGCGGTGAACGAGCTTTACTGTGAAGCCGGGATACCTGGTGGCAGCGGCAGCTTCCATGTCGTTATTGAGCAACCCTAAGCGCAGCTGAGGCTGAGTGAGCGGCGTTTTCCGAACCAGAACTCAGCCCGCATTTTCAAGGTCGGCGTGCTCTTCTGTGACGTCAGCTTCCTGGGAAGCAGCGTCATCGGCTCTTACATCGCCGCGCCGTGTCCTAGTAAGATCACGCTCAAAAAGTGTTTCTGGTCACTACAAGGCGGAAAATCACCGTGCGATAAAAAACGAGTGGCGCGGCGTAGTACTCGCTTTCTCGCTTCTGGGGACACGCGATCATATTGTGTTCGGATGGGAGCGTCTCAAACCGTACGCACGGGCGTCCCTTCAACGTATGATATCTCATGGGGAGCAACAGTCCTTACAGAATCTACGTCTGACTGAGTGAGATCGAGCTCGTGCTCCCACAGACTGTCTTCAAGTCCAGTGTCTCCAGAATCGTTCCCAGAGCTGGCGTCCAGCCAGATCGAGGCAGGATAGAGAGCCCCTCGTGATAGGGACAATATCATCCCACTTCGAGAATCTATAAACCATCAAGCGGTACAAGCCATGTGGATTGTTTTCCCGACTCGCGAGAAGTATGTAGCTGTTTCGGTACCGCTTTCGAATTTTCGGCTCGATGACTCCGCGAAATTTCCTTCGCGGATTGTGTACGCGCGAGTGACGCGGCATTTCCGTCCCGCAAGTGATTATCCGCACGTTCAAAAGCCTGGCTCGCGAATTTAGTCCACTCCAGTGCGAATATTCCCCGGATCCGATGACACTTTTCCAGCTGAGGGTAACCCGATCGGTGATGACCTTTAGATGAATCGCACCTCGGCTGCACCGCTCGCGCGCTCTCTTTACATGGGTAGCCTCTGAGAAAAGCTTATCGCGGGTAGTACAAGAATCCGTTCCCAAACCCAAACGGATGATTCGCGAATCAGGACGCTGGAAGAACAACTTCTGAACGGCATTCCAACAATTTTGAATAATGCTATCATCCAAGAACGGCTTCTTCAATAATTTGTCGTAGTTCATTCCTTGTTGTACGGAATGATCCACGTATTTTCTTTCTGCCCTCGTGCGATTATTCGCCGCCGTAGTTACACTGGGGAATTGGATCGAGAGAAGCGGGACATCTCTCACTCGCAGAGAAAAGGTACAAGCCCGTTTTAGATTCTGGTGCAAACTTCCGCAGACTTCCGTCACACAGAAACTGAACGCAAGGGTTCACGTGGCTCAGAATATCACCCTCACCACACTGGAAAGAGAGTTATGCAATATCCATTCGCTCGAGAAATAAATAGTGCGGAACCGTGGAAATTGGTGTCGGATTCCATTAGGAGAGATTCTACTTCCTTCTCTCAGGGATCATGGGACTTTTGCCCCCCATCGTAAACAGAGGAATGGGTCGATCAGCTATATGTTGATATGAGTCGATGATAATAATTCGAGCAAATCCCATGACGTCGTCCTTTAGAGGAAACGTGCATCCCCAGCCGCTCGACGGTGTTCGCATTCGAAGCGGCTCAATTCGAACGTGAAGAGCGAGTTGGGAGAGTTCAAAAACAAAACATCGACTCATGCATGAATTCACTCCTCCTCCGACAACTCTTTGGCTGTCTAGGATTCTCACTCTCAGACAGTCAGCGAGCGAGCGAGCGTTGTCTCAGAATTGGAGATCTCTGGCGTCGGCGCCATGGGGTCGCCCGCTGGAGCACAGACGAACGAAGTTCCTTTAGTGGGCTGTGCAGTGGAGCGCATTGTGGTTAGTCATTGTTCTTGTGCCTGAGAGCCGCCAGCGAAAACAAGAGCTCGACGATGAGCGGAAAAGAGCCCGGTGTGTGTCGTCGACAACGACAGATCGTATCCGAGAGCAAGGCGATGTCAAATCAACTCATGGCTCGTCATCAACCTTCCAGGAGCAGCAACGGAGAGAGCATCCATCGGACAGTGAAGTAGATGACGAAGACGAGGACCATGAGACCGAGTCAGATTCGGAAGGCGAACAGAACTGTAGCAGCACGAACCATTTTCTACAAGCTTCACAACAACAGCAATCATGCAACAATATCATCATCAACAATATTAACAGCCACCACAGCAGTACGATCAAGATCAATAGTAACAGCAAGCCAGCTAAGGCAGTCAACGGTGCCACGTGAGTATCATTGCAACGAAAGCAGGTTACGAGAAAGAGACGTTTGAGTCATTGCTCGCTCGCGAGTGAGCGAGGCGTGGAACCTAAAGAGATTTACTACAAGTGCGAGTTCGACATTTTCCGACCGCACAGCTTCCGTCAAGACAAGTCGCAGCCATCTGCTCCAGCGTCCGCTTTCAACGGAACGCCCGTGTTTTTCTCTCTGGAGAACGATTCGTTGTGAGACTAGAATAATTTCCGGCAACCTGAGTCGTTTCCGTGCGCGGCATCGATGATTGACACACTGCGATTCCGTTGCAGCATGTTGACGGAGAAGGCGCTGCCTGCGTTGAACGCGGGGGCAGTTGCTCTCCCGGCCGCCGTCGTCGCGTCTCACCATAACGGTTCTTCCATGGGGACTGTTGACCTTGCACAGCTGGGTCTCACTCCGGCCAACAGGCTCTCAGAAGCTTTGAAACAGTCGCAAGGCAACGCAGTGGCCCGAGTTCCGGCCTTGGTGAACGGAGAAAGCGGACTGCCCGTCACGGAGTCAAGGGAGCAAGAAGCAGCCAGATCACTTCTCGATTTGGCAAAACTCGATTGTAGTAGCAAGCAGCAATCATCGGCCGAAACCGGTGAGAGTTCCACCGAAAGTACTGTCGTTCAGGTTCAGGTGAACGGCTGCGACACGAGAAGACAAGACACGAGGAACAGTCCCCCAGTGGACAGAGCCGCTCTGATGGAGCATCAGGCTCGGAAACGGAATATCGAGGGCCCAGGTAAGCATTCCCACTTCATGAGTCATGATCGGTATCGACTCTGTAGGGACGACATGATGTCATGTCGTTCCCCCAATGGAGATTCCCCCAACAAAATATTGAGAAGGAATCCCACTCGTGATTTTATGATTGTGTGTACTTAAGCCGATCCTCGACGCGGCATCGATATCGAGCGCAATTTTCCATTTTCTCACCTGATCTCTCCGATTTAGGTGTGGTTCGCAAAGGTGTCGAGCCGCATGTCGCGGAACCTCCTCGGAAAAAAAGTTCTTGTGTGAGGACCCCCCAGGTCGATACCATCGAGGAAGAGATCGCGGATCCCACGCAAGGATCCTACATGGCTTTACAACCGCCATCCTCAACTCACAATCTGCCGGTCGAGGATCCGAAGCAGGTATGTGGGAGATAATGGAGAGTTCCCCGCATTCCACCATGGGAGATTGTCTCTCGTCGAAGACCGGCTTAGATCATAGGGTCTTCGAACCTTGTTCGCCGTCCCTATATTTTGCTGGAATCCTGAGAATGAATTTCTTGAACAGCCATTACTCGCAGCGAATTCGATTTTGTTGCAGAATCTGATGAACAATCAGGCGTACCCGGTGCGTAGTCCCGTGCTCCTGGAGTTTCGTCCACGGTCGTTGTCGTTAGAACAATCGCCCGTCGAAGGCAGGCTGGATGCGAATCAGCAGAGACTAGTCGCCGAAGGTGCGAGTCTTCCGGATAGGAGACTTGAAAGGTTGTCGCTTCCGGCGGGAATTGTTCGCGACCAGCCGATGGATCTCCGAGTAGGATCGACACGCGCCAGGAGGCTGGAGATTCTCCCCGGAGGGATCGTCTCCCAGCCGCCGCGATCGTTCGCTCGTGAGCCGATGCCCCAGATGAGCATTTTCGGCGGCGCCACGAGCAGCATGTCCGCCTCGGATCGCTTCAACGTCGGTACCGAGAATCCGCATGAGAGTAGCCGACCGGTCCAATGTTTGCCATTCGAAACGGCGACCGACGGAAAGCTCGACGACAACGGTCAAACTTCCCAAACCCCCATGGGACAGCAAGGATTGTTGCCGCAGCAGCAGCAGTGTCAAGTATCGCAGAGACAACCAGAGCAACAAACGCAGCTCCCCAGTCAGGAGCTGCCTCAGTTTAGTCAGGGGGCTTCGCAATCATCGGCTAACGGCTCTGTCGGGATGACGTCGCCCCTCGTAGTGCCAAAACAAGAGTACATACCCGAAGAAAGAGATTGCGGTAGTCGGGAACCGGCTCAGAACGTTCCGCCGATCCACGCTGCTCAAAACGGTGAGAAATCGAGACAACATTTTGCGAACATCATTTACGAATACGCTCCAGGCATGGGGCATCATCGTTCGATATATCGGGAGGGAAAGGCGGGGAGGGGTCAGATACGCTTCGAAAGGCTTAGTTTCGGGGACTTTCCGATAATTGAGATTTCCGATTCCAGCCGGTCCCGGTCCTTGGAATCAAGGCATTCCAACTCCGACTTCGATCGGGAATGTCCCGCTAAATGTCCCGATGAGCGCGGGGACAACGACGGGAGCTGTCATTGGGGCCGAGGAGGGCAAGTGCGTGTGCAATATATGTCATAAATCGTTTCCCAAAATGTCCCAGCTTCGGATGCATGTGAACATCCACTACTTCGAACGGCCGTTTCGATGCGATGCTTGCGCCAAGTCGTTCCGTACCAGAGGTCACCTTCAAAAGCACAAACGCTCGGTATCGCATTTCAACCGGGTGAACATGAACTTAACCTTTGGTACTCCTACGGCTGACAACCCCCGGCCGTTCAAGTGTGACGACTGTAAAATCGCTTTCCGTATTCACGGCCACCTGGCGAAACACCTCCGCTCGAAAGCCCACATTATGCAGCTCGAGTGTCTGGGGAAGCTCCCATTCGGCATGTACGCAGAGCTTGAGCGGAGCGGAGTGAACCTCAGCGACATCGACACCACAGACTGCGAGAACTCGCTCGAGAGTCTGCAGGTGTTGGCACAGCGTCTGTATCAACAAGAGCCATGCAGTCTCAGGTGGAAAGAGGCTGGCGGATCGAATGATTTGGGCTCAGAGCCTGAAGACGACGGAATCGAAGCTCCGCTTCCTCCCATGCAGCAGGCCCTACGAGTTTTAGCTCCTGAGAACATGGGTCCGCAATCGATGCTGCAGCCGCAGTCACAACAAGCTCAGTCGCAACCAGACCCCATGTGTCCACAAGTCCTGGATCCACAACCCTCTTTGCCCGCAACTCCACTGGCTTCAGCGAATCAGCTTCCGATGATGCAACTTCTCGAAAACTCCGACTACGCTCAGCATCCCCATCATCAGGGCCTAATGGCTCCGGCGATGTTGTCCCAAAATGTAATGAGTCATGTTGCGCCGCACGGGCCCATCTCAGCTTCCCAACAGCAACAACAACAGCAGATTCTTCCCCAATCGATGCCGACCCAAGACATGCCGCGTTCTTCTTGCACTTGTCATTTGTGTGGGAAAGTGAGCAAGTCCGCCAAATCGCTGCAGGTCCATCTGCATACCGAGCACGCGGACGCGTTACACGGCACCGCCTTCAACGCATATTGTTTAGAGAACGATGCGCTGTCTTTGGATAATAACAACATTTCTTGAAAAATCTCGCGAGAGGAGTATGAAGTTCGAGTGATTTGTTAGGAATCTTTTCCGTATTATAGGCGACCGTTCACTCGGAGAACGTCGCTCGGGTGAATGGTATCCGGTGGGCATAAATTTCGATGGCGGGCGACCATATCGGTCGAATCACCCTGAATCCCAAGCAACGAACACCAACAACAGCAACAAACTCTTGAGTTGTCTGGTGATGATTCGTAGATGACGAGCGATTGAATGCGATACTTGATTGCATGACTTACGTGATTGAACGCATGATAGAATAATTATTTCACCCATTTGTGAACCGGTGTAATTGCGAATTGTGAGCAATGTTAAATAGGAAGGAAATCACGTGTTATATATTGCTTGATGATAGTTTGGTCGTTTCAGAGGAGGAGACTAGTGTAATATTGAGTTACCATTGCGTCTAGACCAAGCTGATCCATTGTGTTTGAATTTTAGCGTTGTAGATGGTAAGGAATTAAGCCATTTCAATCTTCGAGGAAAAAGCACCCGTTTGGCGATGACATATCTAGCCGCGGATTATCCATGCGAACTGTCTTGTATGAATAAGAAGAAATCTGTAAATAAAGTCAGAGATGACTCATCTCTGCGACGAGCGATTGGCTCCCAGCCGAGGGAGGGTCCGTAGTCGATAACTCAGCATCGATCAAGCTGTTCCTTTTCTCTAGTCCGTCGGAAGAGTTCCATGTGCTTACGCTGAGGAAGTCGATTCCCCAGAAGCTCATGAGGATATTCCGGAAGGCGTCAAACTATAGGGGGGAGCACGGGCTATATTTATAGGGATCATATCCGCTTCCCAGATCGCCGCGAAGGTAACGCGTCGTAACGTTCTTCGACTCGGGAATCTGATGACACTAGTTCTAGTGGTCGCCGTTTCCGCAGCGTCTTCGCTTTCGAAGATAAGGATAAGGGAATGACTACGTAGCAAACTATGGAGGCCATGTTAGAGTCGGGTCGCGGACGGGGATCATCGATATCATTCCCCCGCAAAGTTTCTTTGTTCGATCGCCGCCGCGAGATGGCTTATTGATTCTCGGATAAATTTTCCTTCAAAGAATGAATCGGGAATCCCCGGGAAGCTAAACGGGGCGCGCCACAAGCCGATGTTTAAATCACCTAAATCGCGGAAGGAACTTTAAATGACGGACTAAGTCCAAGCTTGTATCGTCGTCGATACGTCAGAATCGGAATTTAGTACTGCTCAGACTCAAACAGAGGCAAGAAAATCATCTATTCGGAGATGAGCGCGGTACTGATAGGAAGGGCCCGCCTGTTCCAGAAATCCATTCAGCATGTATGAGCCCTAGGAGGAACAGGAGGTGCTCCGCCTCGGTATCGCGACAGGCGCGTCATCATCTGTTTGGATACTTGTGGCGCGAAGAAGCCGCGAGCAACACGAAAACCCGTTCCGAAGAAACTTCTCGTTTTTCTTATTCTCCGCGCTTTGCAGTTTTCGAGGGGCAATATCCGGAGCCTTCAACTCAATCCGGTAGTCGAGATGGACGATGGTCAGTCATGCAGAAGTCCGCGCTGAAAGTCGGATTAGGATATGAGAATCAGCTGCTTGGAGCGGTGCTTCTCGAGAAGCTCTAAATGGCCTTATTCTGAATTCCCCCACAGACATCGACATTTTGGCGGACTTGGTTGACGAGGATCTAGATGAACTGGAGAATGACCTGGCATCCGCCCCCTCGCCTGAGAAACCGATTTCGGTAAGTCGTCTGTGTCCTGCCATCGATCACCAGAGATGGGTGCAAGATATAGCTTCGAACATACCGAAGTGCTCCCTCATTCTTCCCCCCAGAGTCCCCAGAACCCAGAGGTCCGCTTATCTGTCGCAGCAGCCGAGGAGGAATCCGAGACCCTCAGGGTCGAAATCCCGCGGTAAGCTCGTGTTCTTGACTAAAATCCTTCCCTCGATTGGAGAGACATCGCGGGGCTCATTTGCAGCCGAATGTCGTTTCCAGACAGCCAGATGAGCAGCAGGAAGCGGAACTCCCGCAGGAGAAAAATGTTCAGTCTCCGAAAACCTCGGAGGGTTTCCTGGAGCGAGAAAATGATGCTTCTTCTCTGGCTTCAGCCTCCAAACCTTCTCGAGTGAGTGTTTTCCTTTTATGACAATGCCTTAGAGCCTGCTCCCCTAGCTGGATGCAAAAGTGTCTTCCTGCACGGACCCGCTGTCCTTCGGGGAGGGGAACCCTCTCTACTCTAGTCTCGCAGTCTGAACCGCTGCGCTTGCCACGATTCCTCGCTGAGTTTCTCGATTGAACGCAGGAGCAAGCGGCACAAAATGGAGATGATGAGCTCAATTCTCAGTCGCAAGGGCTGGATGGACATACGGGACTCACAGACTGCTCATCAGACGATGATGATTATCTCAACTCGACGGGGAAACAGGTACAGCGAGAGCCAGCCAGTAGCGGTGCGAATCGAATATTCTCAATGATCAAGGACCCAACTTTATATCCGTCTAGGTCAACGACATACTGAGGAGAAAAGAACTCGAGAAGAGGAAACGCGAGAACCCGTTCAAGCCGGCGATGAGTGCAAAGGAACAAGAAGGCTGTGAGCAAACCTAGTGAACTCCTCTCGTCCGCTGTATACGAAAACCATCGACCCTCGATCGCCGCATCATTCAAGATCGGCTGTCTCTACCTTTCAGGGACAAAGATCAAAGCAGCCGGATGCTCCGAGAAAAAGGTGGAGGTTCAAACCGATCCTTTCTCTGGGATACGTGTGAGGTAGGTGATGAGCGGAGGTATCGAGGATCATTCCGAGCTGTTCAAGGAGCTGAATCCTCCGGCAAATCTTCCGCAGACCTCAGGCGTTCTGTTTTCGCAGGAACCCTGTGATATCGTCCGATGCTCTCGGCATAAAAATGAGCGGGCGGAAAATGATCAAGATTTCGACAGTTGCGTCTTATTTGCAACGAATGAAGGTGAGCTCGGACGGAATGGATCTCTAGAGCGTCTGCAACAATTAGCACTCCTCGATATGGGGCATGTCACTCGATGAGAAACTTGATTTGCTTCCAGAACCAGGATGAAGATTGGGTGACGATTGGCGTTGTGGTCGGAAGAAGTGATCCGAAATCTTCCTCGAAGAGCGGGAAGCTCTTCTCTATAATCAAACTCGGTGATTTGAAGGTCAGTTGTCGTAGTGTTCTTTCCGGTGTCAGGCTGGAGGCTGCTAAAGAGAGTCTCCGCTCATGTTTACCAAAACCTGGTGACATTCAGAGAAGAGATTCTCACGGAGCGATTCGGATGCGCGCGTGGAGATATGATCGGCGTTTCACCATTCCTGTGTCCCCTCCGGAACTGGCACTATTCTCACACGATAGGAACTGAAAACTTCCCTTACAATCGTAGAATCTCGAGACGGCCGTGCAACTTTTCCTGTTCGGCGATGTTCATATCGAATTGTGGCAAAAGCTACGCGAAGGGCGTGTGATCGGACTTTTGAATCCGAAAGCCCTCCCCCACAGAGAGGGATCCCAGGATACAGCCATCACCATCGATTATTCCGGCAAACTTCTGGAAATCGGCGATGCTCAGGATTTCGCTACTTGCCAGGGACGAGCGAAGGTATCTACCGAAAAAATTTTGAATATTCGAATGATGGGTTTCTTGGGATAGATTGCGGGATCAACGCAAAGCCAGAGAATGCCTCCCTCGGAAAGCGACTCCCATTGCTTGATCGACCCGAATGATTACTTCGCAGAGCGGCCAGAAGTGCAGGAACGTTGTGAATAAATCTCAATGTGCATTCTGCGTTTACCACGTGAAGGCGGAGTTCAACAAAATGAGTACCTTGAGACCGGAGATCCAATCGAGGTATTTGTGCCTTCCATCGTCTCACGGAATATACCTCTGCTGAAAACCGGGCTCTCAATCATCTGATCTTTCTCTCCTTACCAGTTACTCCGGAGCAGATCCGAATCGACTCAAAAAAGCTGTTTTCGAGGCAACCGGGGGAGTTTATGGCGTCCCGAAAGGGATGACTACGGCGGAGAGCCGAGCATCGATGCGGCCCCGAGGCTCAACGAACGCTGAGCGGAAGCAGAAAGAGACCCTCGTGAGTCACGTAGCCTCGTTCACAGCGTCCGACCATCGAATCCACGCATGTCTGTAACTGATTCCTTCTTCAGATACTGCAAAGTTTGTCACTCAAGCGCAAAGCCGACGCAGAACTGGAAAACTTGATGGCGAGAAAGAAATCTGGAGCAACCCAGCAGCCGAGAGACCCCACGGCTGAGTTCATGTAAAATCCGCGTTCCTGAAAGCGATGCGCTCGTGCAGGCTCTCAGCGAAAAGAGGCATTTTTCTGAAAGTCTGTAACTTTCAGGGAAGAGCGTCTCAAATATCAAGGACCAGGAGCACGCTGCATGCGGCTGGCTTTGGGCAAAGAAGAAACGCCCTCTCACGTCCAAAAGCAACAAAATGGTGTCATCACGTCTAAGGCTGGTGATCTCTTTATCGTTCTTGAACACGTATCGCCCCAAGAAATTTTGGATGTTCATGGCAGTTCCCTGGTTTTTCGATCCTGAATAATTTTAATATTCCTGCCTCAGGTGTTCAGTCCCGGTGATATGCTGCGACAACATGCGGCTAGACAAAAACTCCTGGCGCGAACGCCGGTTCTCAGTGGTCGTCCCGGAGCAATGATCGATCTCCTGTCTCCGACCCGATCTCCGAAAACAAGCAGGGTGAGAGCGGTAGATGGCCAATGCAGTGAACGTCAATCTGGCGGTGATGTACAGATCGCTCTGACCACTCGACCATCGCTCGACGACTCATCCTGGACCGTCCATTCTCAGGAAAAAGCGCTCGATGTCTTGAAGAAGAAAGGAGTCACACTGACCGGGGAGGACCCGAACGCGGTTCGCAAAGCCGTTGACAAGGAAAAAATTCTGAAAAAAATCGAGTCGACTCCTCCAGCGTCCAGCAAAAAAGACACAAATGAGAATGAAGCGCATGCTGCCGTCACTCCAAAGTCCAAGAAACGGATGGTGCTGGGCCGAGAAGTGGATGACGACGATGTCAAAAAATTGTTGTCAACCAAGTCCAATCACCAGCACGAAATCGATCAGGTTCGGAGTAGCGTGCTCCCCGGGAGGAATCGATCTCAGAAATACGCGGGGCAGAACCCGAAATTCGAGGAAGTTGGAATGGAATGAGATCCGATTCCTTCGAGGCGGACCGTGTAATGACACCAGAGACTGTATTGCAGGCCGAGGACGAGGCAAAAGCTGCTTATTTTGCGAAGCTCGAAAAGAAGGAAGCTCTGGAGCAGAAAATGTGCTCCATTATGTCCGTGAAGGTCAAGGTGGTGTCGTGCTCCGTCTGTAATTACACGGCTGTCACCGCGTCGGAACTGTGCCGGAAAGAAGGTCATCCAACGAAGACGCACGACGCTACGAAGAGGTTCTTCCAGTGCCAAGATTGTAAAAACCGCACCGTTAGCTTCAGCAAGTTACCTTCGAAACCATGCCGGTAAGCATAGGTTGAGTCATTGGGCGCGTGATCCATGATACTCTCGCGAATCGGATGTCGAACTCGGTATGTAGATGACTCTTCATTCGTGATTATTCTTCATTCCAGACGATGCGGTGGGTCGAGTTGGAACCGCGTGGCGATGTGGTCTGAACGAGAAGGACCCAAGATGGATTATGAAATTTTGAAAGTCCGTGGTGAAGAGAAGAAATTCATAGATAGCATCTAGGGAAATGCTGAATGTATAGAAGTACGATGACGCTTATTGTGTCATCCATCCGAGGATCTAGGACTACTTTCTTTCAATAAATGTCGCACTTCCGGACGAAAGCGTTCGTTCGCTCGAATTGAGGAGAATCTGTCTACCTAACCTACCAATCTGTCGCAAGATCGAGTCGAGGGATGCAATTTTTCGATGGATAGCCGTAATGGGAAGCGAAGAACTAGGCGCAGCGGTACCATTCCCAGGAATGATATGGACCTTTCTCGCTCATTCAGATCATCCCTTCTCTCTCTCTTTAACAAGAGGATAGGTCATGAAAAAATAGATAATAACAGATCTTCATTGCTTTGAACGAAAGCCTTCATGGTGTCGCCTGCATCGCAAACCTCATTATCGTGACTTGTCATATGAGCCAGGCGCATTACGATACGCGAACAGCAATTCACTGAGCGCACCATCGCGATCTCGGCCCTCCGAGCGATAATTCTAGTTCAGCAAGCCTCTCAGCCTCCCCATTGGATTGAGAGTGATTTGGACAGGAATCAAGCTGCTGCGCTCCCCGAGACCGACGAATAAGTTCGTGAGGATAGGATGAAAATTGGTGACCATTGTCGATGCCCTACACCTCAGGATTCCCGGACCTGGCGAAGAACCTGTTTGAAAGCTGTCACAGTCGACCTCGAAGTCACCCGCCTTAGCGCTTTGAGTTCGGGCGTTCGGACCATCTCAAGAATGCGTGGACGATCGCGAAGGACACGGCATCAGGATTCAGCACGAAACCGTTCGCAGTCGGGAATCGTCTTGGTTCGAATCCTAACGTCCTCCAGGATCTTTGAAGAATCGTGAATCGGAACCAGCGCTAGCAAAGTCGTATATGACCACTGCTCTTTCCGTGACATCATAGCCTCGAATCTTGGTCTATGGAAGAGCTCTGGAAGGAAGGGCTTCCTCAACATGAGTCTCAGTTTGAACGGGAGCGGTCGCAAGATGAGCATGCTCATGAAAATGTGTCTTATTCCACATCAATGAGAGAGAGAGGGGACCTCCCAAAGATTGCAGATAGCACAATAGGAGAGATTCTGATTCTTCTAGAGCGGTAGGAGCAGCCGAGGCTTTCCTTGCTCTGATCAAAGGGGCAGTCGCCGATTCATCCAATTCTTCCTCCGCGGATAACTTCCGAGTGTATCGATCCTCCGTTCGGAGTGCAGAGCAGCTTCGCTTACAATTCTGATGGTTCTCCGAGCGACTTTCCGCTTGATGCATCTCCTTCTGGAGCTGCGGACAAGAGGCCGACAGCTGCAATAGGTATTCGACAGTCGTGCGGGTTGTGTTGTTCCCGGCTCCACGGAAAGCGAGGCAGGAGTCTCACGTAATATTCGCTGCGATAAAGATGAGTCCCGATTCCAATCAAAATCAAGGCGCTCAGAATGTAGACACAATGTATAGCCATCGGATCTCCTTACGTAGTTACCACCCCATAAAAGCTCTGATTCGCTCGCGAATGTGAGATCGGACTGTCCATCAAATAGCGTTTGACAGTCAGTGTAAGGCTTGTTGGGGGCCCCGATGAATCGGTGCATCCCAGAACGGAGGGATGGAACATGTCGGCGGATTAAGATACTATCGGGGACTCAATCGGATGAACTGCTTCATTGCGCGAGCAATGAAGCGTTTAATCAGTTCTAGACTGTTGCAAGCTGGTAGTGCCAGTATGGGCGGGGAAGAGCTCCAGTAGAATCAGATGAGTTCGACTCTTGCCCGGAACTTTGATCGGAAAGACACAGGTGCCTACAATCTGCATTGAGTGGACGGACTAGACACCACGCGTTTACTCGTATTGTTGTTGATCGTCGTAGCTGATTGCAGTTCGAATGGAAAACCACTGAGCGCGTCAGCATGACTCATGCCCACAGCCGCTCGATTATGTGTTCGGATTCCGAAATTTGATTCAAGCATGGATTCGATTGCGGTGGGTCTGTCTTCGACTTTATTGCCGCGACCGCGCTACAATCCGACGCCACTACGAATCCCTGACCGCGGAACTTGTGCCGCAGTCCCTCAAGACTCAGAACTGCCGACAGTCGAGCTTTGACGAATGATGATTCTTCTCCGACTCCGATAACAATTTATGACTGATGGCGTACACCATCTTCGATTCCCCATCTTTTCCTGGTAGCAGTACATGATTACATGACGCTCCGGAACCTACAGCGCTGGCAGCAAGTGGGTCTGCCTGCCGGGGAGGAATCTATCCATAACCGGTCTGATGATTACGCCGTCTGGAGTCTTTGGAATGCCTGTTCGCGACTGTCATCCCACTCCGAATTGATCCTTTTCTTCACCACCGTCCTCAGGGGATTCGGGGGCGTCGCACCGTCTGGACGAATCACCGAGAGAATGAGACCCAGGAAATCTCAAGATTTCATGGATATCCTTCAGTATCGAAGAGTTTTCACCTGCTGCTGATACCCTAGTGACTGGCTAAGTCTCATCCCTGGAGATTTTGAAGCCTTGAATGAGGAATTGGACCGCCCAATATCACGAAGAATCTGCATTTTGATAAAAGGAATCATCAGATTTGACCGCTGCACAGCCTCCAGCATCCCCCTATCTGCCTAAGGTGCTGATTCGTCTCATACGAGATTCCAACTTCCTGAAAGTCCGCGGTGAAGAGAAGAAATTCAGACATAGCGTCTAGACGATGCTAATAGAATATTGACACATTCACGCTCATTGCGAGATCCATCCGGGGATCTGGGACTTTTGATGAATGTCGCACTCCTGGACGACGCCGTTCAAAATGGGATCGCTCAAATGAAGGAACTTCTGTTTGAAAACAGTTGCAACCTGTCGAAGCATCGGGTCGAGGGATGCAGACTTCCGAATTTTGTCGATAGGAAACAATAATGAGAAGCAAGAAACTAGGCGGAGCTGAACAATCTCATCCAATCACCATTCCTAGAGATGATATAGCCCCTTTCCACTCATCGAGAGGAGGCTCCTCCCCCATTCAATCAATGATCAATCTCACAATTCTAGGGATTTATTAGGCTTCTAGAATTTTCCGCTCCGGAAGATCTCAGTTCTTCCCCGAGCGAGGGACCGTCGACACGAATCTTGACTCGTTTCTGGCGGATCTCGAGAATACCGGGAGGACGACTTTCGTTGTCAAGCCGCAGACGTTTTTGCCGAACGCCAGGCGAGCGTAACCTTCCTCCCCCCACTTCGTTCCCCAGCTGAAAAGAAGTCGGAGTTGGCTTGACGGGCTGCTCCGGAGTGACTCTGAATGCTTTCCCGATTCCCCGAATTCCGAGCGAATATCAGATGCGTGGCGAGCAAGTTATCCGTGGATTGTCAAGAAATATTCGGAAACTTCACATGGCCTCGCGACAAATGTGATGAGTTCCTTGTAATCGATCAGGGCTGAGCGCTCACCTGTTACGGATAATCCAATAATCTTTCCCCTCCTCCGAGCCGTACCCAACGACGGTGACGGCGTGAGCGAGAGGGTTCTCAGCATCGATCTGGCCACATTTGGTATCGTCGTAGATACCACCTTCGAGAAAGCGATTCAACCTCATTTTGAGTAAAAAGAATTCCGGGCAACCAAGGCAGACTTTCCGGCTCAAAACTCTAACAGTCCCCGTGTGAATCTCGTGAAAGCTCCCGCTCACCGTCATATTCGTAGAACGATTCAGGCAAGTACTGCAGCATCACGGTGACAGGGCCATCGAGTCCGATGACGACTTTCATCCTGTGTTCCTTTGTGTCTCTGCCTCCATAGACCAGCTCGAACCCGTCGACGGTTCCCGCAGCGTGTTCCCTCTGGGATCGACAGCGACCGAGCTTCGGAAACGAAGAGAGACTTCTTCTTGAGAGGATAATTTCGAGATTCATTGTTCCTCCGCTCTGATTATAGTGCTCGATCCAACCTCTCTCGCCGAAGAAGCCCACCTTATTCTCGTAAGGGTAGCGGTCACGTTTGGTGACAAAACCGTTCTCATTGATGTATCTGAAAACCTTCATGGTGTTGCCTCCGTAGCATCCCCTATTCCCATGAGTAGCTGTGCTGCAATCCAAGATGTCCTGCTCTGAAACCTCATCGAAGACCCCTTTCTTCAAGCGGAGGTGGACTTCTAACGCAGCAGCCTGGAAATCGATTTATAAATAATGAGCGAGTCGGGACGATCTCTCACACGTTCTTCGCATGCGACATGATCGAATCGGGACGATCTCTCACACGTTCTTCGCATGCGACATGATCGAATCGGGACGATCTCTCACACGTTCTTCGCATGCGACATGATCGAATCGAGCTAGTCTACGCTCACCGATGCGAAAGCATAGCAAGCGCCGCATGTGTCCTGGTCACGGATTGGAGAACTTAGGTTCCGATAGTCGGCAGAGGGGGGCGGAATTTCCCCGTCCAAATCATCTATGATACCTCGCGGGGAATCTGCGTCAGCGTTCGAGCCGTCGATGAGTTCCCCAGTGAACTGCCGAAGCTGTTCCTTCGTCTGCAATAATCGCGGGTAGGCAGTCTAAAGCTCATTGATTCCCTCGTGTCACCGAAGTCCCGATGGGCGCCTGCCTGTGATCTCCCGGAGCTTGATGCCTCAAGTCAGATACATACATACACACACACATCGACTCACCATAGACGAGAATTTGTTGAGAACCATGCGGTAATTCTCTAAACCGGCGTCGAAACGCGCATTATGCCCGTCGATCAGACGTCGACGAGCGGCCAGGAACGGGCTCGCCTTGAGGGGAACGGAGGTGGTAAGTAGCGATCTCGGAAACCATTGAATGACCCGGAAATCAGAGGGAGAACTTCCCCGCAAAGACTCACAGCCGCGAACGCTGTGGCCAGAAGTAAGATGCCGACGACCTCCATGGCTGTAACTTTGTGGAAACTGGTAATCCGCGGAATACTATGAAGAGGAACCGCTCACAATATTCAATGGGTGATCCTTCTTCGTCAGCTGCCTTTACTACCGGCGGTGGCTAGGCAGCTCACGCATAAGATCCACTTCTTCCAGGAGGAGCAATCGGTCCCCATCGGACCTCTGGCGGCCGAGAGCGCCAGAGCGCGCGACCCTTGCTCCGCGATCCTTGGGTTCGACTCCTCTCAATGAGAAGTTAAGCGCAAACTATTTTGTTGTGCGACGCATGCTGCTGGACGGCCTTGAATTTCACGGTTCTCCAGGGCTGAGACCGAACCTTCCCCTCCCATACAAACCTCCCGAGTATTGGAAGATTATGAAGAGGGCACGCAGGCCATCGGAAGGAATCAAAAGCTCTCATAACGAACATCAGACATGTTTATTCTGGTCTTCAGTCGGAACTTATTCTCTCAAGCATTACGGGTGCGAACACGTTTCACTCGCTCGATCCAGTCAAGTGCCAAGGTGGTCCGCGCGTAAACGTCGGGATAGGCAGCGGAGCCGCAATATTTCACAAAGCTTGCCACTCCCGCCAGGGTCCATCGGTTGTTCTTAGTGAAACATTGCAGGGGTCCACCGGAATCTCCATTGCAGACTCCATGATCTTCTCCTTGAACGCTCGCGGCACAGATGTGTCGCGGAGTGAGCCGAACCGCTCCGCCCAGGACGCCGCCTCGGAGCCAGGCCGCAACGCATCGTTGATGTGGAGGAATTTTGAAGACAACTTTTTGGAGGAGCGCCGGTACGTGACGTTTGTCGCCTGAAGAATCAAGGTGGACAACCGTGAGCTCTGGTAATCGATGTGGGCTCCCGTGTAGGCCCAGCGGAGACTTCACGCATTCACTGACCGTTCCGTTTTGTGACGCCCCAGCCGCTACCGACGCAGGTCATGCCATCGAAAGTGGTAGCATCGGCAGGTGTTGGCAAACAGATTGGAGCAAGACGAGACTGCGCTCCGGTGAAGTTCAATGGTCTGTCGAGCTGTATGAGGGCATAGTCGTAGTCAACGATATCGCTATCCCACTGCGGATGGATCGCAATATCTCCCCGTCGTCGATTAACCGCAAAATAGATCTCGGTGCCTGCAAGAAGTGAAATCGAAATCTCACCGGAACTCGTCATGCTCAACGTTTCACGGATTATACTCGGCGACAAAAAGTCGGCCGGCGCTGATTTTCCGGCTCGAACGGTGAAGCGAAAAATCCTGGGGAGCAGAGCCCGGAGTGCGTAGTAACTCAAGGATTGCGAGGAGTAGATATACGAAGTTCAGGCTGACCTTCGTTCTTGGTGAGATCGTGCTCGCCGGCCACCACCCTCAATGGTTCAAGACCCTGGAATCTGTAGTCGACGCAGTGAGCGGCGGTCAAGACCCAGTTTTTATCGATGATCGAGCCACCGCAAGTATGGGACCATACACCATTCTCGAACTTCTGCAGAGAAATTTGCCACGGGAACTCGAGTCTCCTGGCCGCATCCCCGCCGACAATGTACGCACTGGCGTCGTTCGGCACTCCGCACTCTTGGCCGACAGCCGTGGCGAGAAAACCGAAGGCTATGAGGTACCTCATGCTTTCAACCATTCCACCCGGGGCGAACGCAATTGCCCTGCTCCTCGCATGCTCTTATACTCGCAATCGTCGCGCTTTCCGGATTTGGGGGATAAGCCGAACAATTCAGTCTGCCGATTGTTTGAGATTAGCGATACGATTCAAAGTTTTAGTACATGGAGCAGCCGTCTCGTGAATCGAAGACGTCTGCCAATCCGGACGGCGCGATCGGGCTTCGTGGAATCGACGACGAAAGTGCGAAGTTCGACGGCCTAGAGAGATTGAGATTTTTAGTCAGTCCGGAGCAGAATGGGCCCATCCGCGCGCAAAACAAGTTGTCCCAATGATAAAACGACGCAGGATGATCTGCAGTTTCGCAGGTTCGATCTTGGTGGCGCTCCGATACACCCTCTTTCGGAAAACGTAGAAAAACAACGACTTCGTCGCCCCTTTGGTACTTTAGGGATGCGAAGTTGTGGCGGTCAGTCTCTGAAATCACGCCCGTAAGAAACCTCTCTACCAGAGGGCTGGTGTGATTATAAACTCATTGGGTCCATGATCATCAATATATTCAATCAAAATCGGAATGTTATTCATGTGCTAAGTATCAAATCGTTTCCCGAAATCGCTGGTGAGATGGACTAGCCTTCGAGTTCAATGGAGTGGTCTCAAAGAGTCTGGGCAGCAGGATTGCGAAAACAGGAGTTCTGTTGAATACAAGGAGAGCGCGAGTTCCAATAGTTCGGCTAGTATCCGATTCCATTCCGATTTGTTCTGACAGAGAGTCCTCTGAGGGGTCAATGTCAATGATCATCTTTGATGCTTTGAATATAGTACTGTGCTATGGCAATGACACTTCTCTATTCAGATTTCTTGACTTATATACTGAGGCTACCGCCGCTGCTGCTCCCGCAAGTGATCTCATGGAAGCGACTCTTCGAATTTTTCCTGGCGCTACTCTACGTAATACCTGGCCATGGCCTTGGGATTACGCTCGGGCGGATTCTCGATAGAGCCATGTCGTCCATAGCCTGCGGCGGTCGATTCCGAGCGGCGACATCGAAGCATTGCAATGTGATCTTAATCCTCGTCATTTACTTGTACCTAAGCCAAGAACAAGTTGCAAGAATCAAAGCTCGACCGGAACTTCCTCGACCGCAGCGACCCATCCGTGCACCGCTGGCACAATTCGATTTTTTGAGGCGGCAACTCAGTGGCAGCCTCTGAGCGGAAAATAGGGGGTTGCGCCGCTTGGAATATTAACCCCTGGAGGGGCCGAAAAGACGGGACTTAAGAGAACTCAGTGTTCGATACCTCATCGAGGGGAGTGGAGCGGTGATTTCTCGGGAAACGTGTACCTAAACTCCGGGCCTCGAAGCACATGGCCCGCGGGGAGAGGGTTCCCGAGAGGAAGAGTCCATCAGACCCCGCAGGCTCCAGAGTGCGCCGAACCTCCGTCGAGGGCAGATCTCGTCGGGTTCTCATCTTGATGCCGGCGTGAACGCGCCCCTTGTGCTCTGGAAGTATTGATCGTGAGGGCGCTTCGGTGGACTTTTTTTTCTGTGTTTCGAATCCGATCGACTGTCGTCAGTGTCCTCGAGGTACAAGCGAAAACTCGGACTATCAAAATGGACTTGTCAGTGGAAAATGGAGTTGCATTCGCCGCTCTTGTCGAGGAGCAATCACGAATCATTTGCGAGCAGAGTATCGAAATACGTGAACTACGCTCGGAAGTTTTAGAATTACGAAATATCAGAGACTCTCTGCAGCAGGAAATAGCTCTCTTGGCTGGTGATTTAGACCCCATGGACGAGGACTATTGGTTCAGCAGGTGAGCATCGGTATTATCCGGGATGACTAATGGTAATGGAGAGGGTCGGCGCACTTCGAGGTTTTGTGAATCCTTTCCGACGAGCGCACGGTGAAAGTATCGTACCATGGATATTTCGGAGTGGCGCCGCGCCGTTGCTTTCGATCCTACTTCAAGCCACTCAAGCGGTAGCACAGTAGCGATGAGAGAGATCGTAAGAGACGATTGTCGAATCGGGAGTTGTTTTGCTCCCGATACGAGCGATGGAGATGGAATCATGCAGAACGTGGAACTCGAGGCCGGGTCCCTCGGAGATTCAACGAGGGTGGGTCAAACAGAGCCGGTGGCTCTTCGGCGAGGTGCTACGCACAACAACACAGTCTCCGTAGCTCGACAGATGGCTGCTGGATGTGTAGCGTTGTAGTAATAAGCGCGCGGAATCGAGAGCACGAGTTTTCCGACCAAAACAAGATTGCTTTGTAGAGCCAAACACAGCTGTTCTCGGTGAACTTATGTTCCATTCGGATTCCATCTGATTGTGATGTGCCCTATGTGGGATTCGCTAGCTCTTTCGGCCAACTGTCATGGAGTGATGCAACTCTCAGGCGAAACCGATCTCGGGGATTTTCCATAAAGGGATCAGACCGGAAAAAAAGACATGACCTGAAGAGCCGCTTGATTATTTTTTTCGGTCCTTGTCATTAGGGTCTGATGATCGTCATCGTTCGTAAAAAGTTAGAGTCGACTGCCAAACATCCCCTCATTCCAGTAGAAGTTATTGAGCACGGCTCGACTTCACTGCAGCGTCGCTCCGGCTCTCTCACAGCTCCCAGCCACCGCCAGCACCGGCGGGAAATGAACAGAACTCAAAGGAAGCCATAAGCAGTCCGTTACGCGAATTCGAAGAATCGTTATAGGATTTCCCTACACTGTTCCCCCCTTATCCAAATAGTGGAATATCTCGTTTAGGGAAGAAAGCCTACATACAGCTGGGAGCGATTGTCCCCCACCTTAGTTAGCCTCCCTCGAATCGTTCGCCTTTTCCACCTTTCCCTTGAAAGCCGAGCAAACAAACTCCATGCGTTGTACACAAACACAGGGCTCGATGGAACAATCTGTCCGTTGGTCGCCCACTGCGCTTCGGGCGGCGTCGTGGAACCAAAGAAAAAACATTCGGATTCAATCGCAAGTCCTTGGGGAACCGACCGCACGACACCCGCAGCCGATGGAGTCGAACGTTTCTACGCAACAAAAAAACGAATCGCCAACTTCTGCAGCTGGACACCGTCGTCAGCTGCGATCTATGGCACTTGGCCTCACGGGAAGCGCTGTCTTCGGTGCTTCCTATTGAACGCTCCGCTCTTTCCGTGACTCGAGCTACTACTTCGAAAGCGAATCCCCTCAGCTGCGACGGTAGCAGGAGCTGCACGTCTTGAACGATAGCCTGACTCCAATGTTCAACTACCTAATTGACGGATTACTGGAAAGCACCGAACTGATCGATTGCGACGCCGAGGAACTAGGAGAACTTTCGAAGGGAATCGGCCCGGAGAAACATCACGCTGCTCCCTCCAGACACACGTGTTGAAGCCGTCCAATCAGGGGAGGCGAAGGAGCCCGTAAGGTCGCAGCGCGTCGAGGGTTCGACAGCAATGAATGACCAGGGTGTGTGTTCCGTTCAGAAGCTTCCATTCCGGGAGAGGTGTGGTGCCGGTCCAGAATCGCCATGGATTTTGTGCGTATGGGAAAGGATCGGAGGACGGCTGGTTGCTTCGATCCCCGTTTCGGTGCTCGTAACCGAGTTTTCATCATCCTCTGGTGTTGCGGGAATTTCGTCTCATGCAATGAGAGTTTCCTGGACGCAGTACTGCCGTCTAAGCGGCAGGGAGCCCGCAGCTCGTACGACTCGAGGGCGCTCACCACCGCATGGCCACTGGCTAGGAGGCAACACGGGAAGCACTCAGGGCCGCACGACGGGCTCACGAATCATACGGGAGTCCCTGCGAAACGAAGAGCGCGAAAGGGAATTTTCTCGCCACCGGGAATGTTTCATCTTCTTCTTTAAGCCTTCGAGCGCCGGAAGGAACAAATATTCTTCTCGTTTTTTTAAGTGAACTTCGCGTAGGTTCTGCAAGTGTGCCGTCACCAGGTCGGTGCCGGTAAGATGCACGGATGCTATTATCTGCAAACGACGGGTACGATCTTTTGCGAGGCGCTGGTAGACACACTGCTAAAAATGTCCTGCTTCCTGTCCTTAATGGCACATGCTCCGAGTCCGCCGGATATCTTGAGCTCGCGTATGGTCGTGTTCGAGTGGTCCTGTCTTCGGTGAGTGGGTATCCGAACATCGCCATCCTGCCTCGTGATCTCCTGTTGGACACATGCAATCCGTGTATTCATCCCAGCAGCTCGAATTCTAGCACTCGGACGTACTGATCCACGTCAATTTGCCCTATGATTGCTCCAGCTGTATCATCGTGGGACAAAGTAGTCTCCAATACGCGAGAATAATCCCAAAACTTAAACAATGTTCCCGCTGTTTCCACCGATTCATTGGAACTCGCCGTGCGCGAGGCGCGAGCCCTCAGGATTGGCGGAAATTCCTCTCGATCCCCCCCCGTGGTCTTTCTCGTCGGTTGAGAAAGATCAGAGGAAAAGAAAGATTGTCGTTCCTGCTGGTAGCGGTCGCTCTCGGAGAGGAACAGGGGACATTTCGGACACTCTCTACCGACGTGTCGAGAAGTGCTGGCGATATTTAGTAATCGACCACGGGCTTCGGCCAACGGAAGCGAATCCAGTTCTCCCAAATAGTGATCCGTCATTGCAGCGGAGGAGATCACACTTTCAGCTCACCCCACTCGGGATGTTGTCCGAAGTGGTTGTTCGAGCGGGCGACCGAGGGAGCGGGCAGCCGTTTCGGCAGGCTGTAATGGTGGTGTCTAAGACGCGGGGCACGTAGCCGCGATGTCTCCGAACGACGACGCGCCGCTGCTTCCATTTCGGCGGGTATTGCATTCGGGGCGAACATTATTTCGCCAAAATCTGTCGACCCCAATGTTTCCGCCCTTTTTCGTGAAGATATAATTTCGGTTATCATCATCACAACTGCTCCGATGGAGATCACCCTCGGGGAAAAGTCTTCAGGTCGCGCCGTCCGTGAATTTTCCTCCGGCATTGGGAAGAATGGAAGTTCCTTCCCGAGCGAGCATCTAATCATTTTATTGCCTCGCGGAATCGGGAGTG